GGGAGAGCACGCACGCGCTAACTGAACAGTTATGCAGGACGCCATATGGGTCAGCGTCCAAAGCACGTCACCATCATTAAACAGCAGACGATCAGAAGAGAACAAGATCACGAAGGGCTGAAGCATTCAGGGGAGGAATTCGACAGACAGATAAACGACAAGCGCAAACAACCCACGTATGTCCCAGATGCCCCAGGAAGCACTTTGCAAAGAAGGGCTCCTTTGAACCCCATAACAAGCCACCAGAAGAGGCACTGATGTTTGTCTCCATTTTGCGGACGCAGACACTGAGGTTTCACGCTATCATCTAACTCAGCCGGGACCGCAGAGCTAGTAAAGGCCAAACTCCGATTGAACCCTAGGAGCCTGAGGCAGGCATAAAGGAGACTGGATTTGAGCTAGATCCTCGGACAGGGAGGCCTCGGGGAAGAAGAGGCACACGGCACGCCAGAAGGAGAGAACAGTGGGCCCAGAACAGGAACGAAGGGACCTCACCTCCAGCCCAGACAAGAAGAAACCAAGTCTGATGTGCTGGGTCAAGTTGGGCCCCAAGGGGACCACACAGTTTGTACCTGGGCATTTTCTTACTGATCTCCGCACAAACTAAGAGCCTCAAGACTGAAAACGCTCAGGCACTCTCTAAAATGCAGAGGCTTTTAGTCACAATTCGTCTTTGTGTTCTTTGGTAGGAAGTGTTTGGAACTGCTGTAATAACTGTCCTGTTTTAAGTCAAGATATTAAGAAATAAAAATAACACGACAGCCGTTCTCTTGGACACTCTCCGAGTCCAAGTTACATTACACGCGTCTGTCCCTTGCCAGGGATGTCGTATGTTACATTTTTCATAACGGTAAAGCTAGTTTATGGCTTTTGTATCTCAAGGCTTCGTCATAAAATACTTAAGCAACTGGCACTAATAATAAATAAAAAACAAACAAAAGACAACCGAGTCGTTAAAAACACACTTGAACGCTTTCTGAATGGTGTTCCGCGGCTGTTTGTAAATAAAACTTGCAAAATACAAAACATCGGAAACATCTATAACGTGCATTCCTCTGCTTCACTTACACCTTCAGGAATCACAGTATCGCACTTTCTCCGGGAAAAAGACAAAGACAATTTTGAGGCCATTATAATCTCTTCCAGTGCACAGTCTAAATGGGCTCTTACCTCACAGTTGCTGAGATCAAGGGAGACCCCCTTCAAGTTATGATTGGAAGCCAGGCCCAACAACAGTGCTCTGAGGGGAGAAAACACGAAAACACACATTAGACGCGAGTTAGACACGGTTTGCACCAAAATATGTACACGTGCCGAATAAGGCCCAGAGAAGGAGGGACACGGTTCTGAGTTACAGGCCAAGCGCCAAGCACCGAGCACCATCTCAGTTTTGAAAAGGCCGACTGTTGGGGCGCCCGGGTGGCTCAGTTGGTTGAGTGTCTGGCTTCGGCTCAGGTCATGATCTCGCAGTCTGTGAGTTTGAGCCCCGCATCGGGCTCTGTGCTGACAGCTCAGAGCCTGGAGCCTGTTTCGGACTCTGTGTCTCCCTCTCTCTGACCCTCCTCCACTCATGCTCTGTCTCTCTCTGTCTCAGAAATAAATAAACATTAAAAAAATTAAAAAAAAAAAAAAAAAAAAAAAAAAGGCCGACTGCACGTCTGCCTCTCAAGCCCAGGGAGGAAACGATGCTGTAACGTTCTTCCTTGGGACGAGGTGCGGGCCCGTTACGAATACGAGTCCGGCAGGCCCACCATCCCTATGCACGTACATCCACGGTACACCTAATTGCACATTGAAGTTAAACTGTGTTCATCACAAATCAATTCCCACCTGCATCTGTTTGAGAACACCTTTAATATTGTTTAGAAAATTATTAGGCAATTGTTAGTAGAGTAGGAAAGCATCTGCTGATTTGTCCCTAAGGGAGAGGTTATGAGGGAGTTAAGCTCCACGGTATCCAGGGTGGGAAATTACCGTCTGTAGAGAGGGGTTTTATTTTAAGCACCTACAGCAGGAGGTGAGAAGAGCACTGGACATGAGGCACAGGTCTGGAGAGGGCCCAGGATCCTGCCTGTCTGTCTGGCTACTACTAGCTGGTCTCGGGACAAATCACAGGGGCGCTGTGAAAAGGGATTTATCCGTCCGCACGCTCAGGAGGCCGGACGAATCACGCAGATCTCGTCTCTAAGAGAATGCACCAGCCCTACTCTCACAAGTCAGTCCTACAACATCGAACAGGCCTGATGCAAAAACTTCCCACGTGCACACACATCCATAAGTCGCAGTGAAGGGACACAAGGCCTCAACCTGGCCCTGGGGGACACACAGGTGAGCCCCAGAGGCCTCTCGCTCTCCAGCAAGGGAAATGGGCAGGTGTGCACATCACTGTAAGAGGCAGACAGGAGAAAGCGACAGGGGGTGGGACCAAGACATTTGCTCCGCAGGCATATCCACCTGTTCTCAATGTTCCCAGGAAAAGGACCTCCACCCGGTATGCTCCAAAAATACCCCGGGGCACGAGCCAGGTGGGAAGGCACCTCTTTCACCCCAGCCTCTGCGATCCCCTCTCTGGTGACCCTCTGGCCTCATCCACCGAGCAATGCTACCGCAGTGCATGGAACCCACCGGTTCAGCAGCTTCCGGTGAGAACAGCCCATCAGGAAGGAGGCTGGAGGGGAGCACCTTTCTTCTCCTCTCCTGATGCCAGTTGACCAGCCCCTTGTTCTAAACACGGGCCGACGAGAGGGGCTGGGCAGATATCTGCACGCATGTTCCTGGTCGATTATTAAATAGCCTCTCTTTCCCTAAAAAGTGCCTTCCCCTCTTTCCTTCTTGGGGGTGGTATTGAGCAGCCGAAGGCACTTGGGACCTAGAACCACATGGCCCGTCCAGAGGTCCCGCCTCTGTACTGACAGTGGGGTGGCTTTAAGGACATCACAAGTCCCTCCCTGTCCTCTCCTGTCTCAGGTGCGCATCAGCAAAATGGGAGCATCAGCCTATTACCAAAGAGGTCCCTTTGAGTTCTACCGTTTGCGAAGTTTCTAGAACCTAGCCACGTATTTGAACACTATGGTTTTACAATGCTTAGATGGAAGGGAGATTCTTCCTACTTTTCCCGTATGTAGATTAAGGCCGAGGAACCAATGATATGCTTTAAGATACTTAACTACAGTACAGAAGGCTGTGATGAGGAAGGACATAACGGCTCCCAAGACTGGTAAATACAAACCAGCAACAGCAACTGCCCTCAGTTGAACAAAACCAAACTCAACAACGAACGGCAAAGCCCAGCACGCACTGGGGAAAACCCTACAGCGGGAAGTGTGATTACTTTTGACCCAGGGATGGAAAAACCGCCTTAACCGTTATCGTCTTCAATCCTCCATCGTTAGTGCAACACCGGCTAAGACAGGAATCTGTATTTAACCTCACCCGCCCTGGAGATGAGGTGCTAGTTACGAGTTCTCAGGGGCACACATAATGGGTTTATTAGAAGTTCACAGTCGGGGAGATGGGAGAAGGGCACGATGTGATGCGGGGTGAAGAAGGGCACAGACACATGGGGACCAGGGGAAAGAAAGCGCAAGCGCGAGCGGTAAATAGGAACTCGGGCCTCGCTCTGAGCGAGGAGCGTGCTTGGGGCGCACGTGAACCTCGCTATTCTGAAGATTTTAGCAAACGCGAGGAAGGGCGCCCCCACGTTCCTTATCGAAGGCCCCAAGTGCTTCACCGTGGCTGACCAGTCTGCAAGCGAGGGCGCAACTAGGACATAAGCAGTCCTATTCTGGGTGTCGCTTCTGAAGAACCCCCAAATGGTGGGACCCGCCTGCAGAATACTGTTCTGTCCCAACTGGGAGGGCTTCTCTCAGAAAACGGTGCGTCCCTGTAGCATAGCCTCTTAGGGCTGCTGACCCCCGGTCCTTCAACACAGCAGGGTCTCCGTCCCCCGCTCCTGGCACAGTGGACCGAGGCAGGGACAGGAACGTACGGAGCCAGTGGCAACAGGGGGCTCTGTGATGCGCCTCCCAGAACCCCCTCTGCGGTCACTTCTCAGGGGTGGCCTTGACTGAAGACAAGTGCCTCACCCGGGGCCACGTCTCCTTCCAGACGTAGACTACCCCAAGGCTGGTCAGCACAGGAACAGAAAGGCCCGGCCTGTGTCTCCTACGTGCTATGTTCCATCCCGAAGTCGGCTCCTCTGGAAACCTGACCTGCGACCGTGACAGGTCGGGGCAAATTACTGGGCAAATTACTGGGCTTCCTGGGCCTCTGTTTCCTCAGCAGCAAACCAGGAATCGGAACACGGTCTCCCAAGTGCCATCGACACTGCAGGTGCCGGCCCACATTCAAGCAGCCGGTTCAGGGTCTAGTTCAGGGTCACGCTCTGCAAGCTCTCTGCCATCCCGCCCCCTCACAGGGAACCCCGAACACCTCGGTTCTATCTTCCCCAGTGTCAGCATCACATTAAATGTATGTACAGAATTTTGCCTACAGAATCTTCAGCCACGAAGCCTTTTCCCTCACACGGAAATTTTCAGTAGTAAAACACAGAGTGGACGAGGCTACCGACAGAACACGATTAAATGCTCACATAAATAACAACAGGTCACAAGATTTAACAATTACAATTTAACGTTGAAATATAATATTTAGAAGTCTCTATAACAAACGGTATAGGAAATCCATGGCTGTGGTGTGGAATATTCTATAAAATCAATTACACTAATCAACAAAGAGCTACTCTGTATTTCACAGGGATCAAGAACACGGAAAGAACGAGAATACTGTGCACCTGTCACCAAAACGGTTTTGAATAAGCGGTTCTCCAGTTGGTACACTGCGGGCAAGGATCACGACCGGATTCACTTTCTACCCAGTGCCCTCCTTGCATCTGGGACGCTGTGAATGCTCCATAAATAGCAGTGGAATGAATATGTAAATGAGTGTGAGTAAAGTATAATGGTTCCCCCTTTAGAATATTGATCGTGCTAGTTTTGTTAATATCCACACAAAGAGCCTCATCGTGAGACTTTTTTGGCTTACATTTATGGACCTCTAATATGTTAATTCAATGTGGAAAAAAAAAAAGGCCTGCCATACTGTCGGTTTTTTGTCTTTGCACTTGCCTAGATCTACTGTTCTTAGGGGCATCCCCTGTTTGAGTCTTAAGGTGCCATGTGAGATACCGCAACCAGGACTCTCACGCCTCTCAAAAAGAAAAAGAAAAAGGGCACCTTACGACTTACATAAAGATTAATTTTCTAGTAAGATGAATAGCAGACATCAATCGTAACATCTCATACAAATGACAAGGGAAGAATTAAATGCTCATTGACACGCCGGCTGGGGAAAGGAGAAATCTGTGCGTGCACTTGAGCATATGTGACAATGTACGTACTCGTAACTACTTGAAAATATGTTCTTTAGGCTCAAAGAGAATTTGATTTCATAGCCCTTTTCCTTAATTGCTGGCAATGCAGAACAGAGATTTCAAGGATGTCAAATTAGCCTCGAACCCTATTTTACCTCAAGAGTTTAACTTCACCACCAGGCCCCCCACGAGGGTATTACCCATAACCTAAGATGGCCGCTAAGTAAAAACATGAAACAGACAGCCTATACCGACCTGGGTAATTCAGGAACCACAGCACCTAAAACCTGACTCTGTTGCATACACACTGTGTATAGAGGTTACTAAGGTTAGTAGAGATATGTAGAATAAATATTAACTGAAACACATATATACACACATGAATATACATCAAACGGGCCCAACAGAGGTTAATATAAAGGCAGTGGTACCTGGGAACACAACTTGTAAGAAAGTCACTGACAACTGCCAAGGTCACAAACCAAAGGAAGATTTTTTTTTTTCATAGAAGATGCAAATAATATCAACAGTGCACGAGGTAGGCAAAAAGAACGTAATTTCTTTTTGTGCCCCGAAGTGAAAAAGGGATTTTCATCTGCCTTGTCTGTCTTAGGATTTTGTGTCTTCTTCCCTTCCCTCAAGCACATTCATAATAACAAACAACTTGAAACGCTATGGGATGGGGGAAA